GGTTGGCGGGCCCAGGGGGCGGGGCGGCGTCCCGGGCCCACCCCCGGCCTCCTCCCACCGCTGTCCATTTGGGTCCGTGCACCGCACTCCTCGGACCCAAGGCCGCCGGCGCTGTCGCCGCTCACGTGTGTCCCGCGGTGCTCTCCCGCCGCGCCGCCCGTCGGGCATGGACTCGGGCCGGGACTTCCTGACCCTGCACGGTGAGTGCCTGGCGGGCGCGAGCGGGGAGACTGTGCAGGGGCCGACGCCGGGAGAGCCATTCCGGGCCCCGGGCTGGGGGCTCCCGACTCCTTCCGCCGCCTCCTAACCTCCCCGGGCCCATCCCTCGCCCCCCTCTGCCGGTCTGGGGACACCTTAGGCCGCGGCTTCGGAGGTGGGACTGCCGGGCACGACCCTGGGCGTTTCCAGACTTGTCCTCAGATCTGGCCCGGGCGGGGAGCGCTGCGGGTCTGAAGATCCCCCGTCCCGGGGACTCTCTCTTTTGCTGGTCATTAAAGGCTGGGCTCCACGGTCCAGCTCGAACGGAGGGCAGGGGAGGGAAGGAAACAGCATCCACGAACGACCAAGTTCTCCCCGCCCCGTCCGGGTCCCCAAAGCCCGGGCGTGCCTGGTCCGCGTCAGGCCGCGCGGGTGTGGCGGGTGGGAGTATAAGGGGGTGGGGCGAGGAGGTGTGCAAGGTTGGCTGAGGTCGGGCCGTGCAGCCTTCACTGCCCATCGCAGAAATCATAGTCACCAATGCCCAGGCTGGGAGGAGCAGCACCATCCCCCCATCTGCGGACCATCCTGGCGGGACGGGGCCCCGTCTCAGCTCGAACTGCCTGAGGCTCCATCCTTTGTCCAGCTGAGCTTTGTTTCCTCCAGTCTGGGCCAGCTCCTTGCCCTATCGCTGTCCCTTCGGCAGAGAGGGGAGCCCGGGCTCCCGACTGCAAGGTCTGGAGGCCTTTTGGAAGGTGCGATGTAAGGGTGCGGGGGTCGGGGCGACTTGGACCTGGCACTTCTTTGTTCCGGGCCAAGGACTCACCCACATTTAGGGGCTTTGCCCTGCTGTTCCCCCCAGATCATTTGCCAGCTCAGCAAACCCTGCCTCTCTCACATCAATCACACCTTAACTGTGTATCCCTGTCTTTCCTAGTAACCTTGGGATTGGAGATGTTAGTACCCACCACACACCCATCTAAACCATTCATGAAGATAGTAGATGGGAAAGAGAAGGGCAGAGCCCTCCAGCCGTCCACTAGAGGGACTCAGATATGTTCCCACCAGCCAGCCTCCAGTCTGTCTGGTGTTTCCCAGTTGGCTCATACCTGGTCTCCATGGCCCAGAGAGACCTTGGTTAGTGTCCAGAGCTGTTGCCCTCACAACAGTAGCTGGGTCTCCTCAAAGCCACCTTGTCTAGATAGATCATGTGATCCCTGCCCTTTCCAGTGCTGCTGCTTCTCTCCTCAGGCCAGAGGCATCCTTAGTGCTCCTGCCAGACTGGCAGGAAAGGAGGCTGGGCAGCTCGAGACATAGTGGAGACCTCTGCTTTCTCTCTCACCATCCGTTAGTTAGTGCTGTCTACCCTGCAGACTGCCACCTCTTCCCTGCCTGCCTCCATTCAGCCCTCCCCAAAGCCGTCTAGTGGGCTCTTACACTGCAGTAGCTTCAGCTTATCTTGGAATGGGCTCCATCCTCGGTGACTGTGCCAGTGCCCAGTTTGTCTCCTGGGGCAGCCCTGGTATCTTTCCTAGGGAGGAAGACACGTGGGTCCCAGTCCTGTGGCATGGGTTTGGCCACTCTGGCACATCCTGTTTGAGACCAGCCTCCCGAATGCCTGACTGTCCAGCCATTCCCGCAGGGCTGGCATGAACACTGTAACTCCAAGCTGTTTTCCCTGAAGGCCCTGCCACTTCTAGCTCATCACCTGCTGGGTTCCCACTATTGGTCTGGGGGGCTACAAGTCTCACCTAGATATGAGAGGTCCCTTCTGTCCTCACCCCAGATGCATGCAGAGGCAGTAGAATACACAGGCATAGATTCAGGAGGCAAAATACCTGAATTCAAGTCTTAGTTTTTTCATGTCAAGCAAATCATTTGACTGCTCTGTGCCTCAGTTTCCTCATCTGTGAGATGGGGGATAATAACACCCCTTACCTCATACGGTTGCTGTGAGGATTGAATGAGGTAATATCTATAAGGCAGGCGAAACAGTGCCTGGTACCCAGTAAGTGCTATGTTCCTGCAGGAGGCCTCCTCCCAAGTTACCATGCCCTGTGAGTTGCTACTGTTCTTTAGGAGAAGATAGGGCACCATAGGAGACCCTAGTCAGCAAAAATATGGCCAGAACTAGATCAAGAACCAAGGGGCTCTTTCTGGTGCCTCGAAAGCACTCAGACCGATGCTGCAGCCCCCATTTTCCTCCCCCCACCCCACTTGCTCCTCTCGCTTTATTCCGGGTAGGCTGGAATGGCTTCTCCAGCAGATCCCTGGATGCACCCAAAAGAACATTACTTCCCCAGGGCCCTTTCCTCACTGAACACATCCACTCCCTCTAACTTTTCCTACACCCGATCCATCCCTGGCTTCTCCAGCAGATCCCTGGATGCACCCAAAAGAACATTACTTCCACAGGGCCCTTTCCTCACTGAACACATCCACTCCCTCTAACTTTTCCTACACCCGATCCATCCTGCCTCACTGAAAGAAAAGTGGAAGATAGAGGAGACTTGGGCTCCAGTACCAGCTTTGCTTCTACTTTCTGTGTGACCTTTTGCTTCTCTGGGCCTTTTTCCTCATCCATAGGATAGCAATACCTATTTCACAGGGGACATTGTGAGGATAAAACACTAATGGGCATAGGAGTTCTAGGTTGCCCAAAAATCCAGTACCTCCAAGAGATGATGGTTCCAGAACCATCGTAGCAAGTTGGGGTGGCCACCTCCCAACCCACTTCAGTTATGTTCAAAGCTGTCTGTCCCTGGGGTTCCAGGCCCATGCTATACAGGCACACACTGATCCACATTGATCTTAATTTTTTGGTGCCATAGGCCACATTGGCAAACAGGTGAAACCTGTGGAACTTTTCTCAGGATCAAGTTTTTAAATGCATAAGATAAAATACATAAGAATTCAAAGAAAGGGGCCGGCCCGTGGCTCACTCGGTAGAGTGCGGTGCTGATAACACCAAGGCCACGGGTTCGGATCCCTATATAGGGATGGCCGGTTTGCTCACTGGCTGAGCGTGGTGCTGACAACACCAAGCCAAGGGTTGAGATCCCCTTACCGGTCATCTTTAAAAAAAAAAAAAAGAATTCAAAGAAAGCAAATTATACTGAGATGGGATTCTATCCACAGGTCCTTGTGGGGTGGGGGGTCCTTATTCCTCCGGTTAATAACCGCTGTGTGGTTTCTCTATAACAGTCTCCCCTTACACTCTGCTTCCCTCTCCAAATGAAGAACAGCTTTTCTGTGTCTGTATTTCAGCTCGTCTACACTAGCACACCTTGCTCATTTATTTTCTGTGGTGTGACCTTAGGCAAGCCACTCTGTGCTTCAGTTTATTATTATTATTGTTATGTTTGTGCCAATAACTAACTGCCAGTGACTCACTGTCGATGGTGGTGGCTGGAGCTGCAGTGAGGCGCATGGGGGAACTGTTCGGAGACAGAGTGAAAGAGGAGTGAGTCAGGCTTCTGGGTGGTGTCCTGACCTTGGCGCACATTAGGGGCTCAGTAAATAATTACTGGGTGAATGAAAGGAAAGTTGTAATGTACAAGAAAGGACCCACTGTTCTCTAGCACTTTGGCAGCACAGTTTTGTACAAAGTTGCAGTCGTTCTCATCTATTCATCAAAGCAAGCCCGCGTTAATGCTGCATTTTAAGATCAGCATTTTTTCAAGAATTCTATTCGCATCCGACACCTTGGGGATTTCACTTAGGTGGGGAAACTGAGGGAAGAAAACAGGCCTGCCTGAGGTTCGCAAGTGAAACAACGGTGAGTTGAGTCACAATGAATTCGTTCAGTAATAGAGGTAAAGTATTTGGCTGGCTCAAGCCTCGGGCCCAGGCTCCGCCCCCGGCGCCGCCGGGCCCCGCCCCACTCAGTTCCGCTCTAGACTCTGCCGCCCACCGGCACCCCCCTCCTCAGGCACAGCGCTCCCGTCCTCCGCCAGCCTTCGAGAGGGCGTCAGGATCACCGCTGAGGCCCCGCCCCCTGGCCTGGCTCCGCCCCGCCCCGCCTCCAAAACCGAGGTTGCGCCCTTCCCTGCCTGAGCACCGCTTTTCCAGGCGGGTTCACCCTCGTCCCGCCTCCTGGACACTGGCTCGCCCCTGGTCCGCTTTCTGGCCTGTGATGTTCCACGGATCTGCTTCCTGGGTTATGGATTTGTCCCACTCCGCGTCCCGGGCCGGCTCTTCCTCTGCCCGGCCTTCTTGGTTCTCGCTTCACCCCTCCCTACCTTGATTCCGCTCTCGCGGGGCCATAGGTACCGCCATAGGTACCTTGATTCCGCTCTCGCGGGGCCATAGGTACCTTGATTCCGCTCCCCAGGGGCCATAGGTACCGCCCCTCTGGGACCGATCCCACCTCCCAGGGTTTGGCTCCT